CTGGAAAACAGGGTTAATCATCATAATAGTTTCAGTGTTCAAGATTGGGTATACTGAAATTTCCAGGACAAAAATTCATGAAGGTTTAACAGGCCTTGTATGCCTTTGTATGGCATTTGTTAAGTTGACAGTTAAAATGATACTACCTGTTTTTTCATCTCATTTTTCATCTAATTGATACAAATGCTTACATTTACTTCTGACATTTTTGCAGTTTTTAACTTAAACTGTGATATACCTGGCACTAAACTTACCAGGTCAACTTTAAAAAAAAAGTAGATATAGTTAAGGACAGGAGAAGTAGAATTGAAAACAAAAGGAAAAGTATATTACTTGGGTATAAATTCTCAAACAATCACATATTTTTGGTGATATAAAAACAGTGGAATCAAAGGGTTGTTTGTTCTCATTTTCCAGGTTGATCCAAAGTTTTTGAAGAACATGCATTTTGCCAAGAAACACAACGTGAAGCACCCCAAGCCCAAGGCATAGACCACCCCATAGACTTTAATATAAAGACACTGTACATATGGGACTCATTATAACTATGAGGCGAAGGACTTTGACAATCTGGTAACATCAGTGTACTGTTCCACTGTGTATGTAGAGATACACATAAATGGATACACATCAAGATTGCCATTGTTTGAAGAAATTTGAAAGGCAAAGAAAAAAAAAACTGAATAAATGGTTCTAAGTGTAACAACCTGAACTGTTTCCTGTTATTTGGTGTGTAAGTTATGTGTAGCCCTAATACACTTAAGTGTTACTTATGGGATACCCTGGAGAAGGGGCTGGGTGGGGTGTTGGGGGGGGGGGGGTAACAAAAGACGTTTAGACCAAAAGTTGGTGTAAATGTAGAACAAGAATTTAGTCGGTAGTGGTTGAATTAAATGAAATTTGGCAACTTTTTAATATTTTTCAAAAAGTGGCTAATGCTTTAGTGGACCAGTGCATGTTAAGTCTAAATGTGGCAACCAACTCTTTAAGTCCAAGTTAATTTGTTTGAGAATCCTGGGAGGTTATAATTATTCAATTATCAAATTTGGGACAATTCCGTGGTAGTGTCTTTCTTTACTTATACTCATTGACGTGTCCTATATTTAACATTGACGTTCAGAAGAACTACAAGTACCACAGAATTTCCTAGGGTAATTTCCTGAGCATTGATGAGATCTGGATCTAATAGAACCTGTGGCAGAAATAGCCTCACTTTGCATAATGTCAGAAGAAAATTTAATCTGCGACCTTCTGACGTGCTCGATGTGGCTGCGCCATCAGAAAAAAAAAAAAATGATTTTGATACTGTAGCAGCTTAAACTGATGGTAGCTTTACCATGTCACATACTGTGATAAAGGTAAATGATGGGCATGTTTGAAAATGTCCAAAAGACCTGTTTTTGTCTATCCTGCAAAGCTAATTATTTTGCCCAATTCAAACCTCAAAAATGAAAAAAATACACACAAATTTAAGTTCCTGATATCTGCAATTTCCTTCTGAAATGTCAGTTTTTGTGTCCATCCTGCAAAGCTACTTATCTGTTTGCCAAATTCATGCCTTAAAAATGTAAAAAAGAAATTCAGAAGTTCCTGATGTCAGCAATTTCCTTTTGAAATGTCAGGCAGGCTATGGTGGTCAAAATGCCTGAATAATTGAGGAATGTGTTGTAGCATATCGTGGAACCTAACTGGTTGTGACCTAAGGAAGATTGCTTGCCAATTGTGGTAGTTGGGATGGTACTCCATGCACAATGGGATGTGATTAGACCATAAAGCCTTTAAAAAAAAAGCAAGCTTGCTTCATTTGTGTGGGAGTTAGAGGAGGGAGAGGGAGGATGAGTCGGCATTTTTAGAGTGATTCAAAGTGAAATAAAGAAATTTGACAAATTTACTACTAGTACATACAACTATTGAAAAGGAATTCAGTTATGTTATTGTTATATTTGTACTAAAAAAAAAAAAATCCTGGTCTAGCTACTGAAAAAGATTGGCTGTCAATTAAGACTTTAACTGTTAATTGATATAAAAGTTACTTATATTAGTTTCCAAGTAATCTTACAATGTGTGAAATAATTTTAAAAGGTAATAGATTTGTCAGAAAATGAAGCAGATCTGTATATAATACATCTTAATGGCACTTCCCTTGGGCATTTACACCTTTTATATCCCACGTCATTCAAATAAAAAATGTAATAGCCTGATCATTTCTCGTTACTACAATACTTGGAAAGCAATGTCTCCTATTTGAACTCACATGGTTTACTCGTTATCCTAAAAAGTCTGTCAAGGACAAAATTGGATTTTATCTATGTTTTTACTTATAATTTTTACATTTTTTAGGATAATTTTGGTTTTGCTTTATTTTTCCAGTTGGACTTTTTTTTCCTTCGTAGTCTGAATTTAAGTCTTTTACTAGACTTTTGCCAAAATCAAGCCTTTAATTTTGATAAAAGTGTTCTACCTTTTTCAGTACTTCTGCTCCATTGTCCCTTTTCCCTAGGAAAAAAAAGATTGAGTATATTTATTTATTTATTGCTTTTAGCTCAACTGCCCATGAATACCTTAAAAGGATGTCTTTACTGTAGCTTTTTTCTATATATACTGGCTGCTTCCCATATGTTCTGTGTGATAATGGCAGATCATAAGTTTTCCATGTTATACAGAGGGTATGTTTTCTGCATGCCAATCATCCTCTTGAGATTTAATATAGATTATGATATATGGGCCTGGTTTGATTTATTTCTTATCTTCATTAGCTGTTATATACCAAAATGATTCAATCTTTTCAGTGGGGAAAATTTGTGTATTTTACAGATACTGTCTTTTTTAAGTGATAAATTCTTAAAAGTAGGACATTTCTGTTGAGTTGTAGCAACAAGACTGAAAAGCAGGCTACCTTATAGTTCTATTCTAAACAGTAAAAAACACAATATTACAGAGAAATATATTTTTATTAATTTTCAAAATGATGTATCTGAAAGATTGATAATTTGATAATTTTTCTCTATTTAAAAAAGTCAACACTGTAGTTGATATATTCATTTTTCCTGAAGTATTTCGCAGCGGATGTCGAGCACAAAAGATCCTGATGTAGCATTCCTCACATACGCATGTCATGCATGAATGCGAGTTGTTCCAAACCCAAGTCTATTGTCCTCTATCTTGACACTAAAGCATAAGCCAGCATATGGAAACCCCAAACAGTGTTTTGCAATGATGTTTTGATCACATTCGCCTTCTGGATCGTGCTGCGTCTGTAAAGTTATACCATGGTCGGTATTTGGAACAAAAGCCCTAAGACGTGGTGTATCTTGCATGCGTACAAGTCTCACTTGAAAGTCAGCCGCTCCTTCTTTTTGTCATTTGGTGTTGACATCACCATAGGTATATATTACATATAGTTTTCGGATGAGTGACTCAGTGTGTATTTCAATATTAAGTGAAGTTAACTCCTTCTGAAACACCTACACACATTTCTTATATGACATTGTGTAAGGAAATAATCTCTGTTTGCCATCTTTTTGTCATCTGCTAAAGTAACTGGCCTGCACTTGTATCCTGTGCATGTTCTAAATATTACAGAAGTGAAATTTGTTTAATGTCTTAGCAAGAGAGGTTCATTTGTCTACAAAGAGAAAGTTCAAGAAGTCAAAGTCCTGTTTATAATCTCCAAAGATTTTTTTTAAAATTCAAAGTGGGGGGGGGGGGGGGGGGGGCTATAATTTGCATTTAGTATGATTCACACTTTCCACAACTTTATTATTTTAGTGATGCAAAACAATATAATCAGGGTGCTTGTGGAGTGCCACTTAGGGCCAAATGGGGGCCAACTTCTTCATTTTCACACCTCTGTATGCGCACATCTATTGGATTGATGGAGGTACGTGAAGAAACTCGGGTTGGTTTACATAGACCACATCACTGTTGTTACTGCCTGTCCTCCAAATTGAATCCATTCTCGATATCAGTACAGTCTTTGTTTCATTTGAACTCAGTGTGTACGTACTGGGTTAGACTGGGTTTCCACAGATTTAGTTTGATCCATCTGGATCGACCTAACTCCCTGGGGGTTCACGCTAAATTGCTGTCAGCTTCCAAGAGACGAGTGCGCACAAAAATTAATTACCCCCTACAGCTTTTAGTAGGCGGGACAGACATTTAAGCCGGTCAGGCTGACAGCAATCTAGTGAGACTCCCCAGGGGATAGATCGATCTAAATATCTGTGGGAATGGTCTCTTAGGCTCTATCTACATGGAGTGGTACAGTTTAGTGACAAATGCCCTCAGCACACATGTACTGATGTACTTTGAGAGATTCACAACTAAATAGTGTGGCTATTACCTAAGAGAGTCACCTAATAGAAGCTCCACTCTCGAAACAGCCAATGCATCAAATTCTGCCAGAACAGTATGAAGCAAACTTGAGATTCTGAGCCAATTCAGAACAGTGCACTAACAGATCTGTGGATCAAATATGACCATGCACTGACTTAAAATATTGCCACTTAATTCCCTATTAAACTGAAGAGATTACCCGGCGGGGATCACACAGCAAGCATTCAAGTTGGACGGCCATATTTGATCCGCGAGTCTGTTAGCGCGCTGTATTGAATGTGCTCTGCAAAACCCACTGTGGTGTAATTACGTCTTGAAACCTCTCAAAGTGTACTGGTAAAGTCTGTACCGCTTGGTGTACCGCTTGGTGTGAAAAAGGCCTAAGTACGCACGTACTAGAAAAGTATGTTCATACTAATTAAACTATAATATCGTTTTTTTTCTTTGCATCTCGCCTTGACAGGATTCCATATGGCACCTTGCCTTGGCAGTTTGACTATCTGCCATGGCAAGAATCCAACTGGCATCTTTCCCA